AGCTCAGATTGTGACCACCTGGTTGCTGGGCTTATTCAGGGGCGTAAGTATCACAGTTGTAAGGCCGTAGGCTGTAAGGCTTTCTTTAGACCAAGAAGAAAACTAAGGACATTGGTTTCCCCTTGAAACCTTTATGCAAACATTCCTATTAAATTGAGAAGTCCACCCAAATATCTGGTTCTTGATTACAACAACTAATTGGCACAGACACCAAACAGAGATCCATTATAAAAATGGTCTGTTTTAAACAGCCCATTCAGAGGGTAAGAGAGGTTGAGTTAAATCACCAATTAAACAAAAATTAAAGAGATTATGTCATCTTATGTTTCCTGGACCAAATATGCTACCTCTGGTTGTACCTTCAACATAAATTCAACTCAAAGAGTGATGTAGGTTTTTATGTTTTAAGGGTCTCTCCTTTTGTATTATAAAATAGAAATTTATTGTTACCTCCAATCTTACTGAGGAGATTTAACATAATTCCTATGAAACCATAATTCCTATGAAAAGGTAGCAAATAGGAAGAAAGGAAAGGCGCATGAGAGGGGAAGCCCGCCTCGAGGAAATGGAATTTTACCGAAGAGAGTACAGAAGAGGGCGCCAAGCACAGGGTCTGGAAGGGAGGCGAAGAGGGCGCTGAACTTCCCGATCATGCCCAAGGCGAGCATGAGGGCGGCCCCGTATTGTATCACCCGGCGACTGCCGACCTGCAGGACACAGAGGCAGAGACAGGTGTTCAGTTCAATGTGAATTCCCTGGGCCCCTTGGAGTAAATATGACAAAGCTCTCATTCAAAATCTAGATTACTTTTTAAATATTTAGTTAAGAGAAATGAGTCTCATTTCATAATAACTGATCTCAGTGTACAATCACTATAAATTACTATAAACCACCTAGAGTAAAAAGATTCCCAACACCTTCCCTCATTCCCATTGGACCCCTTCTCCTTCCCTTGCCTGGGGGGGAAGAGGGGCAAGCACTTAGTTTTTGCTTCTCTGGCCCTGGATGCTGTCCCCTTAGCGTGGACCTGCTCCCGCACTCAGGTCCTGGGGGTCTAATGCCCGCCGTCACTGGCTGAGACGAGCTCTGTGTCTCAAACGCAAAATGTAAGAGCTACCTTTTGCTTCTGCTGCTCTTCTGGGTTCTTCACTCGCCAAGCTAACCCACCCCAAAGCACTTCAGCCTCAACAACCCTATCCTCCCTGTACCCTGAGTCAGACAAAACCCCCAAATGTTTCTGGAACCTCCTCCCCTCACGGTGTCTTTCCCATTAGAGGTGGCACAGCCTAAAGGGCAAAGTGCAGAATTCTCGAGCCCGCTGCCTGGCTGTCACGCGACTCCACCTGCAGCCATGCGACCCGGGCAAGCTACTTCACCTCTCTGGATGGCAGAATCCTCATCTCTCTAAACCTGTGGTCTTGCTTTAAGGATTAAATGAGATAACATGTAAAATAGTTTGAATAGCACCTGGCATGCATCAGGCTATTTGACAGCCTCCCACCTGGGCCTGCTGCCTCTGGCCTTTCCTCCGTCCTCTGTCCGGAGGTAGAGGGATCTTTCTAACACACTGATTTGGGAGGTCAGTCCTCTGCGTAAGTCCTCTAGTGTTCATGAATTAAAACACACTTCTCAGGCTCTTCCCAAGGGAGTCAAGCCCACCAGCAAGCTCCCTGTCCTGTCCCTCCAGCCAGGTCCAGGCCCCAGTCATGCTGGGGGCTTACTGCCTGCCCCTCAGTGTACCAGGCAGACCCAGGCCTGTTTCTCTGGAACACCCTTCCCCACATCCCCCTGCTGGCTAGTTCCCAGACACATCCTTTAAAACACTACCGAAGTGTGACCTCTTCTGTAAAGCCTTCCTTGATTCCAAGGCTTGGATCCCCCCTCCCCCTGCCACACTCTGGGCTTCTGCAGCACCACTTCTTATCATTTCAATGTGGTCTCACCTTTATCTGTTAAATCTGATCTCTGCCTTCTAAAAGCTTCCATCTAGCCCACTGCACCCAGGTAGCAGAGGTGGAGCTGGCACTGGGTCCAAGAATCCTGCGTTCTGGCTCCTATTCTGTGCTGCCTCTCCCAAGAAAACACCCTGACACATAAGAGGTTCCAGAATATCTGGGGGAATGTTCATTGGCTTTAAGTATGACTTACAGTGAGGAGAAGATGGCTATTTACACTTAAGTTAATTAAAGTGAAATGAAACTTAAGATCCAGTCCCTCAGTTGCACTCATCACATTTCAAGTGCTCCGCAGGCACCTGTGACTGGTGGCCCCACCTGGGACCGCACAGGTGCAGAACACTGGCCCCACTGCTGGACAGTACTGGGCTAGAGCATCCAACAGCTTCTCCAGGGACCCAAGGATCAATTGATTAAGAGTCAGAGTCGAATCTCACTATGCAGATTGCTGTCCAGCTAGGATGAGTCACGGCTGAGACTAGAGCCCAGCCTCCACTGTTTCAATCTATGGCTCCTCCCACACAGCACCAAGGGCAGGGAAGCAGAGAAAAAGGCCAAGAAACTGGTGAATCCAATAAAAATGACCTATGCTTAGCTGTACTACATGATAAAGAACCCTTTCATTTATAAATGGCTCATTTTTCAGCAAACATTTTAAGGGCCTACTATGTGACTAGCACTTGTTAGACCGGGGGGTGGGGGACAGATACAAAGATGAGTAAGTCACAGGCTTATGATGAAAGTCTTATACTGCTGCGACTGTTACTCTGTGTGGGAGCCCAGTGGAAAGAAAAACGGAAGAGTTGGAAAAGGGTCTCTGGAGATGGTCTTGAGGGATGAGTAAGAGTTCACTGGAGGAAGAGCATTCAGGCAGAAGAAACCACCTGTGCAAAGACCACCTCCCAGCAGGATCAGGCAGCCCTGCAGGTGTGCAGGGGAAGGGCCAGGCTGGCCCCAGGGATGCCTGAAACAATAAATCCTACATGAAAACCATGCATGGAAGGCTGATCTGCCTTAGATGCTGACAAAAAAAAAAAAATCAAACAAGAACAAAAAACAAAGAGGCAATGGAGCCATTCTTTTGTTCAATGCATATTAACTGAGTGCCTATTGTATACTAATGTTCCAAACACACCTCTAAAATCCCTGCCTGGCCCTGGCTGGTGTGACTCAGTTGGTTGGGTGTCATGCCCTACACGGAAAGGGTGCAGGTTGCTGGTTGATTCCTGGTCAGGGTTGTGGGCTCAATCCCCAGTAGGAGGCAGCCAATCGATGCTTCGCTTTCACATCAATGTTTCTCTCACTCTCTCCCTCTCTCTAAAATTCAATTAAAAAGATCTTAAAATAAAATAAAATCCCTGCTTCCCAATGCTGACACAGAGCCTTTTTTCCCTCCTGACCTCCTTCCTGAACTTCAGCTCTGCCTATGGGGCCACTATTTCTGACTTTTCAAAGGCTTTCCACAGTGTGGAATGCAGCAAAGGAGACATGACCTTCCTCTGGACACCACCAAGAATACTGTAGCTGGGGACATGGGGGGTTACTCTGTTTCCAGAAATAAACTTTAAGCTAAATACTGAGGAACAGAATGAAGAAATAATACACAGTCGCTACAGCTGAGCTACCAAATTACTAATATCAAGTTCGTTGAGGCATTGAGGAAATGAGTCTATTCTTGTTCTAATTAGCCTGGGAGCTTAAACTTTTGAACTTTCCAGTCTTGCATCAATGCCTGGATGTGCATCTGGACATATACCAGACCTCCAGATATCCCTCTGATGACCCCCTGAAGGACTCTTGTATCCAGACCACCTGACATCCATTATCCTGACCATCAGGTGTGACCACACCTCCTGGGATCATCCTGGACCAATCCTAGAGCTAAGAGTGCAGGACTGATAATTCTCAAGAATACAGTTTTTACTGTAAGAACTCTTAACTGTTCTTTCTTTTTCAGAACACTTCTGGGTTTCTGCTTAGCTGCGTCCCCTATCTACAAACTCTGAGACCCTTGAATAAATCCTTACCATTTATTTCTAGCCAAAGCCTCCAGCTCTTTTTGAGTTCACTTGACAATATCATATAAAGGCGAGATCTATAGCTTACTGTGTACCCACCACATGCGGGACTCAGTGCTTCACATCAAGTTATTAATTCTGGTGCCTTGCATGCTATCTTGGTGACACGGGCATGGAGACTCAGAGAGATGATGTAACATTGGGAGAAAGTGATGGAGCCAGGGCTGGAACCCAAAGCAGCCACCTCCTGCCATGTCTGCCCCTCTCTGTGGGACAGACATTGGCACAGAGTCAGCAGAGGAGTGTGCATTCTGACCCCTCAGGACTTCAGAACACAACGGGGGAAGCAGCCTCAACTCCTGATCAAGCAGGTTAGTGTCCATGGACATGGAATTCCATAACTGGATAAATAGCTACTATAAGAGTTGCCAGGAAATGGAGGCAGACTCTTTGGAAGAGCCATGGATCACCCTCTTTCTGTATGGAATTCTGATACAGGGGCCCAGACCAGAGCCATTAGACAGAACTTTCTGCACTGATGGGAATATTCAGTATCTATGCTTTCCTATGGCAGCCACTATGCACAAATGACCACTGAGCCCCTGAAATGTGGCTAGTGTGGCCAAGGAACTAAATTTTAACTAATTTAAACTTAAAATAGCCACACGTGGCTACTGACTACTACACTGGAGAGTACAGATCTGGCTCTAGAATTGTTGGGTTTCAGACCTCAGTTCTACTCAAGAAAGTGACCGTCCCAAGTTCTTCAGCTGGACAAGAGTCAGAACACAGCCCAGAACTTGGGCCTCCTTTCTTCTGGACAGGATCTCCCATCAGCTGCATGGCTCAGGCCACAGAGAAATTTCTGCTGCAAGTCCCACTTCCCCACGAAAGCAGCTGTGCAGATGGCTGGACTGTACCATCTACACAAGGCAATGCAAACCGACTCCAGGGCTGACGATGCCCTTGGATGGGTGTAGCCTTTGCCTGAGGAAAGTGGTTCAAAGGGATTCAGGAGGATAATAAACTTAGGTCACTGAAAAGAGCCGGCAGGTCGCCTTTCAGAATATGCTGGCTCCATTCAAACTGTAATAAAGATAATTACTCTACAGACCACCTCAGTCCTGTTTTAGGAGGGGACTTCAGTGAGCGGCACCACTTACTCCCTACAGTGACCCTGCTCCTGGGGTCTTTCAGAGGGGTTCAGAAAGGGAGCTCGCTTACTACGCTGTCTTCCCCTAAGAGTCCCTCCATCTACAACAATTTTGCATTGATGTTATTTCAGATTAGTTCTATGTCTACAGGTTCATGCAGCATACTAGCTAAAGGGCGAGTGGTTTATGCCCATTCTGTGTCCATGTGAGACATTCTGTGTGCGTAGTATCCAGTTCTCACCCCTGGCAGCAGCAGGACTCAGGGGTGGCACTGGAGGAAGTTCCCATCAGGCAGCCCTCACATGCCCTGCACCAGGAGCACCAGGCAGCAGGTGAAGCCATCTGCACACATGAGACTGAGTTCTGTGATGGATCTGTCAACTTACAGGAAAACCAACTAATGTGTTGGGCATACACTGTGAATCCCCTGCTCCCTCTCACCTGAATTTACAGTCAAGATTAACCAAACTCAGTATCTGGCTTCCTTTTATTTGGCTATAGAATCTTGGAGAGCTGGGGGGGAAGATTTCTAATTTCACAGAGGTAAAAAAGTTCTACAAGGCCCCAGCCTTTTTTTTTTATGGTCAAATTGGCAAAAATATATATTTTTGGTGTGACACAGAATTTTAGTAACTAGTTATGTGTGCCATGAGATGAAAAGGTTGAAAATCGCTGCCCTAGACAATTGGGTATAAAGTTCATTTGCTAGTAATAAATTTGAAAGGCCTAGGAGCAAGCGCCTTCTTACAGAAGCTGGACTGTGAGTGGGGCAGCCCCAGGGACACATGCCTATGTTTGAAGTTGGGTGGGGAGGAGAGGCAAGTGGGGAGGGGTCAAGACCCTGTTCAACCTGAGTGACCTGTGTGGCTTGTCTCATCCACTCACTCCACAACCAATTTCATCTAAAAGAGGAGGGTTCTGCTGCTATGGTTTGAAACCATGTTAATTCTTTACTGGAAGATCAATTTTTTTCTGTAATGAGTGGTATCATCTCTCATCTAGAACTCATGCCATCTCCTAACTGGTCTCCCGTTTCCACCTCCTCCCCCCGCCTTCTATGGTCTAGTCTCATCAGAGCAGCCAAAATGATCCTTAAAAACCAAAACCAAAACCAGATCGAATGAATAGTCTCTTCCTTGGGCGCCCCGTCCACTGGGTCTCTGGCAGCCGACAGAGCTGGTCACCTGGCCCTCAGTTACCTAGAGGACTTTATCTGCTCTCATCTGCCTCTGTCACCCTCCTGCCCTCCTGCCTGAATGTCTACCCCCCAGGGACATGCACAGCTCCCTCTCTCCCTTGCCTACCTTAGGCCTTGGCTCTAGGCCATCTTCTCAGTGAGGCTTAGCCCCCTTTAACCACCCCCTTTAACACTCACCCTCACTGCTCATCCCCTCCCCCTGCCCCATGTTTCTGTCATACTTAGTATGCCTACTGCTTATTATTTGCTCTCCCCTGCTAGAATGTAAACTCCACAATGAGGGGATGCGTTTCTTTATTCACTGATGTAGCCCAAGTGCCTGAAACAGCAGCCTGGCACAGGGTCTGGGTGCTTAATAAAAATTTGTAGAATGCATGAAGGAATGATAGCACCTGAGTGCCTGCCGACCGAGGCCAGCCAAGGGAGGAGAGACCTCCACCAGCATTCCAAAAACCCATCAACAACAACAACAAAAGGAAATGTGGGGAGAAGATCTCAGAATTGGAGGTCTTCCTTGTGTAACTCAGGTGGTCAGACCAATCAATGAAATGGATCAACGCTTAGCGGCCCAACCATTTAATTAGAAAAATGTTTGTACCTTAGTAATTCCCAAAACTCCAATGTTGGGACTGGATGAAGTAGAGCCATTCCCAGTACCAAACATGCCATCGAGAACACAGGAGAGACCCTCCACGAAAATCCCCCTAAAATGTAAAGGAATGGGGCAAAAAGAAACATTCATTCAATGGGGGAACACTCTAAATGGCTGTGACCCAAAGGCCCAGTCCACAGACATACAGCCTCCATACACCCTGGGAGGCATGAACAAGACAGAGTCTCAGGCCCCACTCCAGATCTCCATGCTCATTCCACCTTGAGAAGCACCTCTGTGAACCATATATTAGACACAGGTGTTTAAACAGTATTCCAAATTAAAAGATTTTAGCCAGAAAACAGCCGTTTGTTGGGATCTAAGACAAACATGGGCCATCCATTGATTTGACTGCTTTGCTATTAATATATAGTTTCATCAGGAAGGACACGCTTTATAATTCTGTAAACATTAACACTTTTTAAAAGAATCAACATACAAGTAATTTAACCATATGCAACAAACAGCTCAACGGGAGAAAGGCATAAAACCAGGACTTTAACCCCTAACAGAACCAACGCAAGAAATGCTAAGACACCAGCCCATTGGATCTCATCATATGCAATCCCTCTTGGAGGGCAGCAGGTGGGTGGGAATCGGGTGGTGGGGTGATCTGGGCAATTTTATCTTCTCTGCAGCCTCCATAGGGTCCAATTCACTCCTGGCATCCAGAAACTAAAGACCAGGTGTGCTGAGAACCTAAACCCCACAGTTCATAAAACTCTAGATTCTGCAGACTTCATTTATTCCTGCTCCTATCTATCTACACAAATTGTAAATATGAACAGATGACACAGCATCTACCCCTTAGAACAGCTGGGGAAACAAGAATAAGGGGCACATACACCCATGACCCCAAACCCAGCAAAACAATGGTGGTGGCTGGCCCGTTTGGTGAATTTAAGGTCTTGAGTGGCCTTAGAGAATGTCTTATGCAATTGTCACTGTGAGGAAGAAAGGGTGACAATTCTGCTTGGTATCACAAATGAGGAAAATGAGGGGAAAATGAGGGCAGTGACTTATCCAAAGATAAACAGCCAACGGAGAGGCCTGATCTTGCTGCCTCCACACTGAAACTCCTGGGTTCTTCTCCAAGATTGTCCACACCAAAGTAAAGAGACGAGGTGGTGGGCCCAATGAACTACTCCTTTTCTCAGGAACGTACCTGTTTATTGCATGGATGGGAGGCGGTGGGGCACAGGACAGCCTTGCGCAGGCGTAGTAGTCCCCGATAGACTCGATAATACTGGCGACAACAGCACTGAGCATGCCAATGACACCAGCCGCAGAGATGGTGGGCAGTCCCCACTGAACTGTGGAGGGAAGACAAATGCAAAATCCTCACTTTCTTAGAGGGGTGGGCAAAAGTTATCACACTGAGTCATTCAGAATGTCCAAGGACAAGATCCGCTCAGATTCTCGAGGAAACTTTTTTAACTGACATTACCAGTGGCTAGATGTCTGGGAAGTTCCTGAGTCAGACAAAGATGACTGTAACAAAATTGGTCTGCTCTATGTCCGTATGAAAAGTCACTGTTTGGCAGAAAGAGGTAGATGCTTCTCTTCCTGATTGAAAGCCAGTTTCTAAATTACAATTTAAACAGCCTGCTGTGTTGGGATAAAAATTTCTGTGAGGGTTTTTTTTAAATATATTTTTATTGATTTCAGAGAGCGGAAAAGAGAGAAAAACATCAACGATGAGAGAGTCATTGATCAGCTGCCTCCTGCACACCCCTGACTGGGGATCGAGCCCGCAACCCGGGCATGTGCCCTGACCAGGAATCAAACCTCCATCTCCTGGATCCTAGGTCGATGCTCAACCGCTAACCCAAGCCTCGCCAGGCTGTATGAGGATTTTTAACCCTGCTGTGCAAACTGTGGTACAAACTAATGGTACTCTTGCTCTGGGGATGGCATCAAATGAATGAAAATCAGCAAAAAGTCACCAGCTAAATTTAAATCCCAACAACAAAGGATGACACAGATACAGATAACCCTTCTCTAGCGTTACAGCAACATTTTTGTATTTTTTATTTAGTAAACCATGTTATGGAAAATTAAATAGTTTCCTTTAGGAGAAGTCCCCAGGTAGCTTCAATTTGAGTATCTGGATTTAATTAATTCTTCATTAGATGTACCTTAAAAGGAAAATAAATCTCTTCAGACTTTCAAAGCCATAGATCTCATTTAATAAAAATAGCATGAGGACCTTTCACCGGTAGAGTGAACAGGTTTCTTTGAAAAAGTACCTAGGCCTTCTTCCCTTGAACTATTAGTTATAATACAATCAGCAAGAAAACAGCAATGAGAAGAGATGGACAGATAAAATGGTCTCCTGGGCAGGGACCACCAAGGTAGTTTGGGGAACAGACACTACATGATCTAGATACAATGGCTAGATATCAAAAGAAGGCAACCCAAATTGGGTCACAACGAGTGGAAGTTAGGAAGTCAGGAAGGGGACAGTCCCTGTCCAGGGAGGGTCTGGAGAGCAAGAGATGAGTGGAGAGGGGTTCTAGGCAGGCAGCGGCCTGAGCGTCAGCAGGTGGGCAAAGCAGGCGCACAGGAACGGGCTGGTGCTCAGCAGAGGGCGCCTGTGGCATGGGACAGGCAGGTTTAGGAAGGGCTCCACACGCCACCTAGAGGCGCTTGGCCTCTGTCTCATAGGTAATGGGGAGCAACCTGGGGTTTGGGAAGAAAAAAATGACACATGAAGTAAGATGTGCAGGATATGCCTGGAGTGTGGACGAGGGCAGAACTGCTCCCACCTGGGCTACTTTAATCCATGGGAGCAGACAGAGGACGCAGAGGCCCATGGTCAGGGTGTCAAGATGCGCGCCCACCGGCAACTGCTCAGCATGTTCTATGTCCACCCACAACGGGCTTGGTCAACATCTCCGAGAGGGTTTGGAATAAAATTTTATCATGCAGATAATTTATCAAGCAACATTCTGTATTTTTAAAATAATCTTTTATATGGTTACCTTGTTGCTGATGTCATGTTGTGGTTTCATTTTAGTGTCTTGATTTAGGGGAGAAATTTTTACTTCATTTTGCCATTTACTATTTTTTCAGAAATTGCCTTTTACTTTCTTAGACTCTACTCTTACTGTTTTCTAATTTTTCCCGCCATGTGCTTGAAGTCCTTCATTTTGATTTATAAAATCCTTATTCCATCTACTTCAACATTTTAAATTTGTTACCTTCTAAATTTTAGACCCCTTTTTTTTCAGATTATATATGTTTAAAACCTTGTTGGCTTCCAGCCTTCTATATTTACTGTTATTTTATCTCGCCTTTTAACTAGAACCTTTAATTTATGTTGTTACTTTACAGCAGAGTTTCTCAGCCTCAGCACTTGATATTTTGGGCCCCAAATCTGTATTTTTTTTAAAAAAAATATATCTTTATTGATTTCAGAGAGAGGAAAGGAGAGGGAAAGAGAGAGATAGAAACATCAATGATGAGAGAGTCATTGATCGGCTGCCTCCTGCACGCCCCCGACTGAGGATCGAGCCCGCAACCTGGGCATGTGCCCTGACCGGGAATCGAACCCCAATCATCTGGATCCTAGGTCGATGCTCAACCGCTGGGCCATGCCCGGCCGGGCCCAAGTCTATATTTTAATAGCCAGTTCAGGTAATTCTTAGCATGCTAAGACAGAAAACATAAAGACAGACATATTTGAAAACCAGACTCCAAATTAAGCAAAATCATCAGAGAGTACTTAAGACTACATGCTTCTGGCTTTCTGGGGTAGCTTTTCCCAGAAGAACTTTGGCAGCAGAGCAGCTCCAGCAATCAGGGGATGGCGTGACCAGGAGCCAGACAGCTGTCTCTCAGCACATGCATAGCCGCTTCTCCGGAGGAGCCCACCTGCACCTGTTCGTGTTCATCTCAGGAGCCGCCTGCACAGGCGGGGACCACCCAGCATGTGCTGTGGGGGCCTCCTCCCACCTGCCCTCCCAGGCCTCCTCCTGACTGCCTCAACAACTGGCTTTTAATCTCACTTTATCTCAGGTTATATGTTTATGAACTCTGTTTAAAAAAAAAGAGAGATATACATACATACTTAGACCATATGAGCTGAGTGCTATTTTAGAAAGACTACATTTTTCAAGTGTGTGTAAATGTGTCAAGAACAGAAAGGACAACTGCCAATGTCGCCATCATTTAACATGCTTACAACAGTTGTCTCTGACCCAATCCTAATATTCTTGGCCTTTCCTGCTTTCTCTCCTTGTCATTATAAAATATGAAAATGTGACTGCTATGAACAGGGGAATAAATTAGCACAACCTGACTAAGCTCAGGCTTCTCTAATTAAACCCCAAATGTAAGAACAGAGTCTTCACGACAGAACAAACCAGCATTAATAACTACTGGGAGGGGTCTTTCTGGTACACCTGAATCCAAATGATACCTCATCTGGGGACTGCCCTCCCCCACACCTTGCCAAGAGTTACCCAACTTAAATCTTAACTTGAGATCCATCTTCCACCCATTTGTGATTATCAGTTTACCTCTGAACAGCTGTGCCCAAATTTAAAACGATTACGGCTCCCCATTAAAAGATTATACAAATTCCATCATGCTTGAGCAGTTTGCTTGCTGATCTTCAGGCCCTCCCACTCAAGTCTGCTCCCTTCAGATGCTTGGGTCCTATGTGCGTAGCTCTATACTTGTGTTTCTAAGAGCTGCTCTTAAATCCTAGCCACCAGACCTCAGACCTGGCAAGAGACCTCTGGTCTAGGATTTCACCCTCGTGGAACCAAAAGAACCAACTGTTTAACCTGAGAAGGGAGCTCGTTAGTCTCTGTGTATTAATATGGCCCTCAAGGGAAAGGGCCTCCCTTCTTTTGGGATTGAATCCTCTAGTGACCAGAATGGTAAGACTTTCAGGACAAGAAGGCTTTCCCCACTGCAGAGCCTTCTGCCAACTTCCAATGCCTCTAAGTTGCCTTCATGAGCTCCTGACGCCCCTGACCACCAGAATACTTACATGGGTATGGGACCTTAAACCACGGGGCTACGAGAAGAACCCCCTGCCTGGCATCCGTTCGAGCATAGAAGCCATACTTAGTGCTGTCAGGAGGGAAGACATCTGTCACTGTGAAGATGAAGCAGAGCAGCCAGGACACAAGGATGGCCAGGATGATCTGAGAGGGTCAAAAAAAAAAAAGGCTCTGTCAGGCCATGGAGGTGGTGGCTGCTGGCAAAACACATGCCTTCCTACAGTCTAAGTGTCACACCCCAGAACCCACCATTGTCAGTATTCCCCTCAAAAACCCATAACAGACCTGCTGAAAGCCTATTCCTTGAATGGAATCACATTTAGAGAGAACAGTTTTAAGCAGGACAAGTTACTTTAACCCAGAGTCTGGCTAATAAAATAAGGGTGACGGACAATGTCCCTGCAGAGGCAATGCGGAACCAGACCTCCCTCAGCCCCAGGAAGAGCCAATGTCCTCCTAAGGGATTTCAGAATCGGAAGCTTCTACCACTTTCAAACCTGAAATCCGTGACAATTTGGATGGTCATCAGTACCCCAATGTCACCACACAGACACAGTGCCCCCAAGCAGACCTGCTTAAAACCCTCCTTTCACATACACATTTTACATAATGAACCAAGGGTGACACTGTCAAGAGGGGGAAGAAAGGTAATTACTTACAGGGAACATTTTGAAAAGCTGTAACTTGTACGCAGTCCATCCTTTCTTGGATTTGTAAATTGGGAGAGGAAATTTAACATTTCTGGCATATTGAGAGAACAGTAATACTAGGAAAATTGTCCTGAGGAGAGAAAAAAATAAACTAGTTTAAAAGCTGTATGTCTGTGTTTTAAAATATTATTCAAAGCTTCAACGGCAATGTGATCGCATGTTCAACTCATTTCTCTAGAAAACGGCTAGTCCTCTTACCTGTTACTTGGGAAATCATATCTTTTGTAAATGCCAGTTTTGAACAGATGTAAGAACTCTTTTTGTTAGCATTTCTTGATGCAGAAAGAAAGTTATCATGTAAATGCTTTGGCTAAATTTCCCTTAACAGAATAAGAAAGCCCAAAGAATGTACACACTAATGGAAATGCTTATGCTGTGTAAGAGAAAAAGACAGGTTGACAGATACGACATAGAGCAAAGTGTAAATACAACCACAAATTAACTAACAAATAAGCAACTACCGCATGAGCGTGCATGTACACACACGCGCGCACATACATGCAAACAGTGAAGATGGGGTCCAAAATGCTCATAGGAATTGGCTTCAGGTGGCAATATGATATGCAACTTTTTTCTACTTTTCTGTATTTTCTGACTTACTTATAAAGAGCATAATTTACTTTTAAAAAGCAAAAAGCTTCAATATTTAAGAAAGCTATATACAGTAGATTGCAACAGTAGTAATAATATTCCTGAGAGGTCTGTATCAGACATTATGAGAAGGTCTTCCCACTTGTCATCTCAGCCTTCTGCAGTGGCTTCTGTGATGCTCCACTTTAGAGAGACAAAGCCAAAAGCCTGAGATCATGTCGCTAGAGTTTTCAGGGTGGGTGGGGGCCAGGAGTCTAGCTCTACAGCCTGGACTCTGAACCACTTCGCAACATGAATCATATGGGCTGCCTGGGCTGGCTCAGAAGTCCCTTTACCCTGAGCCCCAAGCTCCTGACCCAGCTGTACTGAGGCCTACAGGAGGCAACAGTGTCAGGTGACTTTTGCAACAGGGCCCGACACATCCTCATCAGTCCAGTGCCCGAGCGTGGCAGGTGTGGGATGGATTCCCATCACTGAAACAATAAAGGCTCACGATGATGTGTTTCATCACCCATCGGGACTCGCTCTTTCACTTATAATCTGAGGTAGAGTTGGCAGAACAGTGGGAACAAAGCTGCTTAAATGTTCCCGGGCACAGTTCCAATCGTTGGAATTATCAGCTCCATTGACAGCCAGTCAAGTGCAGTTTCACTGTAATAGTCCTAATGAAGTGTGGACTGCAGCCGGCTGGAGCACAGGCCTGTGCTGCTCCACTGTCTCCCTGCCTACACTGGTGCCTCCCTGGCCCAGTGATGGGGGTCTCTGCCCTAACACAGGTCACCAGGCCAGTACAAGTTTAAGGCTAAAAACATGCATAGTGCTCAAGTTATTCCAGTTTCTCTGGGGTGGTGAAGTTTAACAACAACAAAAACAGTATAGCAATGACACTAAAACTGGTTTATTTTAAACTCAGATCAATATGAAATTTTCAAGTTTTAAAAAATGCTACTGATTTATTTCACAGTGAACACTCTGAGATCCAAAAAGGTCCCACATCTGCTATTATTATCACTATTGCAGGTGACAACCCACCCGACAATTACACCTGCACTGTGGTGTTCACTTTTCAAAGCACATTTTAAAAACGGTGAGGAACATACAGAATTCAGGGAAGGACACCCAGATCTCAGCCCAAACCTGGCAGCGCAAAGTGAGTGGACTGGCAGGTGTGTGCTCGCTCCATTTTCTTCCCACCCTAAAACCCAGCTGCTTCTAACTTATGTTCATCCTCAAATACACCCATGGGGCAGGTGGGGCAGGCGGTCCCTCAGCAGAGGCAGGAGGTGCGGGATGTGCCCATGTTCACACACCTTGGCTGAGCAGAAAAGAGACAAGGATCTGAGCCCCAGGTCCTCAGGCTAGGGTTCTGTCCACAACAGCCAGCTCTTTGCACTTCACTTTTACACTCAGTTTGCTTGCTCACTTTTCTTTTACCTTATAAATATCATTCAAGAAATGCACACTAAAATGCAGGGAAATTATACAAGGCAGATAAGCAAAAAGGAAGACAAAATCTTTAAGATCATGCCACCACTGATGACAACCACGTAGCATTCTGTGCTATTAACTGTGAATGGCTTCCATTTCCAGGGTATTTATGGGTAATCCTGGGGTTAGAGAGGGAGATAGGGCTGCCTGTAGTCATCCTCACCCTCGAAGCACAAACAGGTCATCATCTGACCCAAAGTGGAATCACCCTTTACATGCCGCTTCCCAACCAGTTTGTAGCCCTATTAATGCCATGGCCTCGACAGAGATCTGCACCAGCACCTTAGTGGCTGCTCAGCATCCCATCTCACAGATGCACCACATCTCGTATAACAGTTGCCATACAATGTGACAATGGGAGCAATAGAAACTGTGACAGATTGCCTGTCCCTGGCACCTGCCTGAGTACCTCCTAATGACAAGTTCCTAGGGCTAGAATGGATCTTCCCAATAGTAAATAACTTATTTAAAAGCTTCTGATACAAACTGCTGAACATGTACAGAAAGGATGGGCGGATATAGAGTGCCACCCAGGGACCAAGAACATGCATTTGCTACTCTTTGCAACACAGGGTCTTATCATACTTTAAAATCTCTACCAATTTCATCAATTTAAAAAAACTTATCAGCATTCATTTTAACATTCATTCTTTATATATGAATTATTTAGTTCAGCATTGTTTGCAACAGCAAATACGTTACACAACATTCATGAGTATCAACTGGGGAATGGGTTAATAAATTACAGGCTCTTTCATACTATTTAACACTGTGCAGTTCTACAAAGAATGAAATAGATCTAAACAGTCTTAGAAAGGTGGGTCCAACAAAAAATGCTGGGGTGAAAATCAAATTATAAAATAATATAATGGCAAACTGTGTAAGTACATATGCTTGTGTTTATGCATAAACAACAAAAATATGAAAGGATAAATATTAACTTTTTACTAGTTAATCATGAACAAATTTTTTTGAGGATGGGAATTACCTTGCCTTAGGTTTCCTTGTTTAATTACTGTTAAATTTCAAATGGCTACAATTTAAATGTTTGGGGGGACACAGATGAGACTTCTCTTGAGTATTTGGTGATGGTACAGGAGGGCTTGTTACACTATTCTCTACTTTTTAATAGGTTTGAAATTATCCCTAACAAAAGTAAACAAAAAGTTTTCTCAAGAAAAAAACAGTTGCCATCAAGGACCTACGCATGGAGTTAGAAATGTCACGATATTTATCCTCCCCTATGAAATGTGTGTCTAAATGCTACTTCTATTGCAGTGACTAAGGGATCCACATTGTACAACCTGATCCACCACAACTACCCCCACTGCCTACGGAATCCCTGTGAATAGGCACTTTGATAAGAGCGTAGGGAGGGCAACCCTTTTAAAACACTAATGAGCTATTTGTATTTCCTCTTATTGTTAAATGGCTGCTCATACATCTTTCATCCATTGCTCCACTGGGGCTCTAATTAGTGAAATACTATGAATTGGAGACATTAGCCTTTCTTGTATAATTTGTTGTAAATCTTTTCCCAGATTCATTTATAATTCAATTTCAATGGTGGTTTGATATGAGTTTTAAATGCATCAGAAGTAAAATCCATCAATCGTTCTCTTTTCAATATCTGCTTAAAGATCTTCCCTATCTTTCCTGATTAAATGTTTATGTAGGTTTTCTCCTAGTACTTTTATAGTTTTATTTTCTCTACTTAAGTCTTAATTTAGCTAGAATATGATTTGATATAAACTAAGAATCTAATTTTCTTCCAAATAATTATCTAATTTTTCTATACAATTCTTCCATTTCCCACTGGTTTAAAATATGACTGTATCATATACTATATGTGAATTTTTTCTTGGTTCTATTTCTATGCCCCCCGTTCTGCTCTACCAGCATTACAGGTGTTTGCTGACGCCATGGACCAGATGATCTAGGGGGAAAGCACCTGGAGAGGAGGCGGCCCAGGACCAAGTCTGAGGAGCCCCAACGGTTAGGAGGAGTCAATTTTGGTTATGGATGCTTCTCTGGAAAACCACCCATTTCACTTTAATAGGGGCAGGAAGCATAGATTGAACTCATCCCCCGGATCTGCGGTCTTACCCCTTTATCTGTGTGCACATGGCCTTCTCATTCGATTAGTCTTGCCAGGGGGTCGGTCTCTATACTCTCCAGAGAGCACCTTTTAGATTTATCACTTCTATTTCCCTCATATTCCTTGTATCCTATTAATTCTTTCCCCCTGCCTCCACTGGCTCGTTTTTTTATCCTGTTTTTCTAGTTTCCAGAGATAGCTCTTCATGTACTTGGCCTTTAAGGTTATGCATTTTCTCAAGAACAACTCTGACTACTCTGCCAAGTGTGATCAGTGCTGTTCCCATTGGCATTTTCTAAATTATAAGCAATTCTGGAGTTTCAATAAATAAGTTATAAATAACTGACTAGAAGTTATTGAAAACTCTCGTTTTCTGTTTTTTGGATTCTGAGCCAGTTGGGGGTTTTGTTCACCCTTCTGTTACTGATTTCTAAATTAACTGTATGATGGTAAATACAATTTCTCCTTTTGGGAACTTACTGTACTTCACTGGATGAACATTCTTACATGCCTTCTACACACCACACCTGGTGTGTGTATTGCCCAACCTTCAGCCAAATTAGAAAATTAAGAACAATCCTGGATATTTTCACATAACTTAATTTTGTAATGATATATGGGTTATGATTATGCCAGGATCCACTTCATTGGTACATCATGTTCAACACAAAGAGGCAGGATTAAGTTCTCCTCAGGCTATTTGGGTTTTGAAAACCATCCCAGGCACTTATGAGCTGTGTGGTCCTGGGCAGCTAACTTTGCATCTTTGTGCCTCGGCTTCATTAGTGGGGACAACACTGATACCTACCTTGATTTATAATATGTGCAAGTGTTATGTATGGCACTGATGCATAGGCTCAATAAGTGCTGCCTGTTATAAAATAATTACAGAATATTTCACAAAGCAACACAAAAACAATTGGAAATCCTCTTGTGTTATTAATTTTGTTAGAAATTTTACTGGTTGGTAAAATTCCAGTCTAGGAATCATTTCCCTATTATATGATCAACTCTTATATATGCTCTACAGACACACAAGAGAAAGTGAGTTCTATTTGAGGTACAATTTGGTGGTTCTAATTAATAATCAATCTTACACTATTATCAAAGTCTTGGATGTCTTTACTGACATTATTTAAAGGGGTAAGTGACATCTTTAATGGGCTTGAAGCTCTGTGCAAAAGCACCGGCAATTGACTAGCAGGACTCTGGCCTCCCCACTGGTGTGCAGACCTCTGCTTGGCCTGGGAGCCATGTCTCCTTCAATGCCAACAGACCTTCCTGCTCCATCTGTCTCCTGCTACTCTGGACATATTTTTGAGTCTCATCTAAAGGATTCAGCTTCTGGGTATTTCAATTCATTCACAGGAGACTTGGCATGACTTCAAAAGTCAAGAGCTAATGGCACCATCCAAAGTTTGAAGTCTTACAACCCCTCCTCTACACATCACTGCCAACTCTGTCTTTGGTGTACCTTGACACAAGGCACTTCCCAACCCAGCTCTAAACACCCATCAGTAATTCCCTGGCACAAAGTGAATGAAGTTTAAACTGTCAGAATATTCTGACTTAAAACAAAACAGAACTTATGTCCTAAAGTCAGAATGTTCCAAGAGGCTGACCCTTGGTGGTAGGAAGAGCGGAGATTTTTACCGGGGGCCACTGAGTGATCTCAGAACACTTACAGCATGGCGATGCCCCAGTGCTTCCCCGCTCTCTCTCCTGCCGCCTGGAAACCGGAGAGGCCAATGAGGGCCACCGTGGGAGTAATGGTCAGGGGCCCGATGTATTTCAGCAGAGCACCGGGCAGGCCTAGGAAGCCAATGACCACTTCTATCAGTGAGGACATGATGATGGCCCCCTGGATCTGAAATAAGAGAGGGCACAGATAAAAGAGTAAGCTGCTTATACATCACATACTCCAATGTCACAACCACAAGCAATAATTCTGCGCGGCATCATTATTATATAACTGGCATAACATGGCTGGAAAATTCCTGGGTATGACTAGGGCCTAGCAAATGCAAGTATGACCTGATGTAAGAATAGTATTATAGGAACAGGCACCTGATGAAAAGGGGAACTGCCTTTTCCACTGACAAATGAGACAGATGTAATTTATAATTCCCAAGGAATATTGCAGTATAAAGCTTCTTGACTTTAAAGAGGTGAGTCCCTGCAGGACACTTAAAAGTCAGTGTTATTGACAAAAGTTCTAAAGGAATGTTTCTATTGTACAGAATGGTTGGGCTGATTCTGAACTAATGGTGAATGATCTTATGGGTTTTAAAAGATCTGGATAAACTGTCAGCCATTCTTCATGTCTAAGGATTCCCACGACCTGTTCTGTTCAAGTGCACTGTATAGACAATTATCTTTAATTCTTTCCACAAATACAGGCAAACACTGAGGCTGGAATGAATAGTTCTGCTGCCTGCTGACAAGCTTCTGTAGCACCTTCCAAAGGAGCCACATCCCTCAGCTGGTTCTGCTGGGGGTGCAAGTGGGCAGGTTTGTGGGTGCACCAGAGGAGAGGAGGAGGGAAATGAAGGGTGATAAACAATATCATCTGGTTGCACAAAGCATTTCTGCATGCTTTATTTTATGGTGATGTCATCTAAATTTAATGGCATATTTAAGGACAGAAATAACCATGTCAGTAGCTGAAAAGGGGGGCGTAGTGCAAGCAACTGTAATTTCTTGGGCTCAACCAACACTGAAGCTGAGGAGAAACACAAAGCAGCCATAAGCAAACAACGCCCCTCTTACCTCGCGGATGCGGGGATACCAGATGTGCTCTGTGTGTAGCAGTTCTGTTGTTCCGTTGGCAATTGAAACATCTTAAAAACAAAAACAAAGACAAAATTTTTCTTGGAGTGACACTGATGTTTCACAGGACATTCATTTCACTCTTTTTCAGAATTTCTTCCCTGTTTTTAAGTACATGTGTATAAATACCCATCCCTAAAATTCAATAGTACGGCTTACCATACTGAAAGGTGGATTCCCCAGCACTAACTTAACCAAATTTAATCACTGACTGAGAGCTCCCAGCCTGTCAGAAGCTGACTGCACATGGCTAGTGCCAGCCTCACACGAAGACCAGCCCTTGCAGCAGCTAACTGAAATGCCCAATAGCAAGGTTGCCTAAGGTTTTAAAAACCTAGATAAAACAGAGGGCTTTCTCCAGTTCCCAAATAAAATCAGTGGTCACAAAGTAACTCCTAGGAGCAAGGAAGGAAATGAAAGCTGGAAAACTTTGCTCCTAGAACCTAAAAATGGAACAGTATTTTGAGAGTACCACAGGTCTGGTTTTCTCAAATCCCCTATCTTATCTTTTCCTGACTTTATCAGGTTACTTAAGGATCTTTGCAATCACTAAGGGGAGCAGGGGGATGAAAGTCATTTGCAGAAAACCAAAGCAGCCAGATCCTTAAAAGCAGAGATGTTTCAGAGAAGGGATGCTGATGCAGCAAAGACAGTGATTACTGGTGGTTCATAAAATCCACTGAAAGAAAGAGGCAGAAAAATAGCACAAATACATTTCTCTTCATTCCCAAACTTATCGATTTCATTAGCATAGAGAAGTGAGGTCCCTTCTGGTCCTCACTTGCTCTGGGGTTAGGGATGAATGAGTGGATAGAGAGAGAGACAGAAACACGATCCATAGATTGGAGCATTCTAAGCTGTTTGTTGGTTTGTGTGTTCTGTGCCTGATTCCAGAAAGGATTTAATGCTGCCAAGGGCAGCATGTCCAGGCCTCCCTTTATCACCTGCATTAAAGGACCCCAATGACATATGTGGAAATAACTGCAATTACCTGTGGTGTTACATTTCCATTTATCTAAAGACAGGATGGCTCGAGCAGGGGCCAGAAATGCAAAAGCACTGGCCTGAAACAGGGGTAACCTAAAAGAAACGAGACCAAAACCATGATCACGGCATCAGGAACTACCGAGGTAGTTCACTATTTGACAGCTTAACAGTCTTTTCCATACACAAACAGCACATGAGTAAATGCAGGCACACCTGGAAGAAAGAACCCCGGTCTGCAAAGATCGCCTCTGCCATGCAGCCAGGGCCACTGGCTTCTCCTTCGCTGCCCTTCCCTCAGACAGCCTCAAGATGGGCCCCGGGGAGCCCTGTACCCCAACATGGGCCTGCCATTGCCACCTATCCCCTTGGGGGTGGGGACGTTGCACATTTGGGTGTCTCCCTTTCCTGCTGAGCTTGTGAGGTCCTCATTAAACATGAGTACATGTCTTCTGTTTCACCACTCTCTTCCTCCCCTTCAAGTTCTTATCGGGCATCATAGAAAAAAAATTATCTTCCTCTGCTGTTCCACTTTATAAGTCAAATCTGCCCTAAATCATAAAGGATAAACATTAAAATCATGTTGGTGATTTAGATCTACTGAGGAAAAGCAAAGCTGTTACAAATCAACAGTAGGTATAATATTCTGCTCAATCATAAAGACTCAAATATTCTAAACCTTATTTTTAAAGGACCCAGAAAATTTGCAGACTCTCTGTAAAATCTCCTGCCCACATCCTAAATGCAGAGATACTCAGATGTCATCATTCAGTTATATTTTAGATTCTTCACATTAACTTTATGAACACTTGAGCTACTCAAATTCAAAAGATGTTGCCATGTTTTACTGGAAATCTATAGTATTTCAGCTACAGTTCGACCAAGGTGGCTTTACGGGCTAACATGAAGTCTTGATCACTACTTTTAACATACTTTCAGAATAAAATACACAACTGGCTCCTGTTCGCAGAGCAGGGAACTCCAACATGCCCAGATCCTTTTTAAATACCTCGAAGCAGCCTTGTATGAGTGTCCTGGCCAGCGGGACGGGAACCCAGCATGCCCTCCCTGAGCCGACAGCATGTCCTGCCATGACTGAAACAGGAACTGGACTGAGAAACAGAGTGGCTCTGGCTGGAGGACAAGCAGTTGCCTTACAAGGGCAGAGTCGGCACACACCATTCTGAGCCAGATAAGGGTCAAGATTCTCTAGTTTTCCTGGCAGTTTCAATCATGCAATGAAGTCAATTGGGATCAGGCAGGCTGATGGCTTTAAGACACAGTGGCAGGCTGCACCGCACGGTATAGACCAGATGCGCTGCTGGCAGCCAGTCACACGGCCATGCCCTCCACCAACCATCTGTTTGTAATTACCTGTCCGGAGAGGCCCAGAGTATAGTACCATCAAAAGTGGAAGTGGCCCTGGTGGGTGTGGCTAGGTTGGGCATCGTACCATGCACTGAAAGGCTGCGGGTTCGATTCCCAGTCAGGGCACATGCCTGGGTTGTGGGCTCGATCCCCAGTGAGGGTCATGCAGGAGGCAGCTGGTGAATGTTTCTCTCTCAAGTCAATGTTTTTCTCTCTTCCTCTCTCCCTCTCTCTCTCTCTCCCCCTTCTCTCTAAATAAAAATCAATAAAACATCTTAAAAAAAAAGTGAAAGTGAAGGTCACCTGATGTGGGAACATAGTATATCAAAGGGGAAAACACTGTTTGATTTAGACAAATTCCTTAAGCACAATTTTTCAGAAATGTAAAGAAAGGATAAGGGAGGTCAGCATCTAGTTGGAAATGGATGCAATCTCAAATGGTCCTAACAGCATGTGTTTTGCTGTGGTTTCAGATTTCAAGCAATGAATCCTAGGACAATGTAATGTGGGTTGCACTTAGAAAGCTCATCCTTAGGAACACTGCAATCGACACTGCTTGGGTGACAATAGTAATGTGGGACAGTTAAGACTGGGTGTGGGTTCCACTCCTAAGGACATGAACTATACCTCAGTCTGCACTTGACCACTGATTGGGTACCTTTCAGGGGAAGCATCTTACGGTTTCACCCCAACCAGAGGCCCTGAGAACTCACCCACTTTCAAACATCCAGGATGCTGGATCCCTTTGAAAGTGGGTAATAGAAAATTCCCACCTGTGCCGCCCCAGACAAAGCCTCCTGAGGTGATGTGGAAAAGGCTGCACACGCCGGCTTATGCACAGAAAAGACGTGCTTCCTGTTCTGCCGCACACACTGCCTGGCACCAACAGGACTGTCTCAAAGACAAGTGGCCGCTTTACAGGAAGCAGCATTCGGTACCCCAGCAGTGGCCTCCATAACTGGCAGCATAACTCAGTGGCTTGACTGAATTATTCTTAGGGAAAGTTGCAATAGGGGCATGTGACTCCATTAAACAAGAGCTTCCCTAAATCACAAGCAATAAAGCCAATTTTCCAACAGAAAGACTGAACGTGCTCAAGCACTTGCTGGTTTCATCTGCAGCGTAATGCTGGTCAACCCTAGGGGCTCTCCTCTCTGCACCTCACTCGCACAAGCATCCAAAACTCCCCAAGTAGCCAAGACTGCCTGCTCTTTTATTTTGCACTGATGACTGGAAAGGAAACAAATTAAACCATGCCCTTCTTTACACCCAGGGCTGGCAAACGGGCCCAAGAGCCAAATCTGGCAAATTACCTGTTTTTATGAGTCAAGTTTTACTGGGACACAGCCACCCTCATCTATTTCCGAGGTGTTGACAGCTGCTTTAGAGCTTCAATGAGAGAGTCAGGCAGTCACAACAGAGACCGTAAGGGCCTAAAATATTTACTGCTTGTCTCTTTACAGAAAAAACTGGCCTACTCTGTCTACAGGAAAGTATATCTTAAATATGTGAAGTGGTGGATTTTTGCAGACGAAAGTTTTAAAGTTAACAGTGTCACTAGATGTTAGTAGGAAAAATTCTGAGCAGACAGGCACCTTTGTCTGTTGTGATACATCCCCATAGCGGGCTCTAGCCCCAGGACAGCAAAGGAACCTAGCCAGCCACAGACAATCCTTACTTTGTTCAAAACCCTGCTGGAGGTCCCCCATTTCCTCCTCAGTACCCAGGTGACCCCAGCATGTCCCCTGGCCTCGCCTCTCACCAGCCCCTTCACACACCTGCACTCCAGGCAAACTGGCCCAGGTTCTTGCCTCTGAGCTTTTGCTCATCCCTTCTCTTTGTCATAACTCATTTGTAATGTTCCATTTCTACTCATCATTCAAGGCACAGGTTCCAGGATCTCCTTCTTGGGATTTGTGATGTCCTTGGGACTCTCGGGCCAGGATTTCTACAAGTCACCCCTCACCCCCAAGTCACCATGAAGCTGCTTCCTGATTCCCTGGGGATCACTGGTTAAAAATGGATATTTCTGATCTTACCATTTGCAACAACACAGATGCACCTAGAGGGTATTATGCTAAGTGAAAGAAGCCGGACAAAGACAAATACCATATGAGTTCACTTATATGTGGAATCTAAAATACAAAACAAACAAAACAGAAACAAGCTCATAGAGCTAACTGTTGGCTGACAGATGGAAGGGGGTTGGGGGAATGGGGGAAAAAGGTGAAGGGATTAACAAGTACACATTGGTAGTTACAAAATAGTGAAGGGGATGTAAAGTGCAGCACAGGGAACAGATTCAATAATATTTTAATAACTATGTGTGGTGCTAGGTGGATACTAGACTTATTGGGACATCATAAGTTATATAAATGTCGTCACTATGCTATATACACAAAACTAATATAATACTGTCAACTGCAATTTTTAAATTTTTAAAATGGAGATTTCTGAATTCCACTTAGTCCCAGTTAACAGGAGTCACAGGAGGGTCCTCACATCTGGATTTTGAACAATGACTTCTGGGTGAGGCTGAGGCACTGAAAGAGAGACAATCCCTATGTCAAATGAATGGATTTATTCTGGTCACTTGAGAACCATTTCTTGGGTGTCTGCTTAACACAGGCATACTTATAAGCAGGCACAATGATAGAAAACACTACCCTTGGGCCCTTAAGGAGAGGAGTTTCTGTAGTGTGGAGGAGATACTAATTGTGGCCACACGTGAAGGGCAGTGATGTGGTGAGGCATGGTGTGTGGGAGTCTGTGGAAGAATCACTGAGGCATAAGGACAAGAAGGAGGTCATCACACGTGCAGGGGGTTATGAGCAGTCCAGGCAGAGAGGGGCAGGTACAAAACAAAAGGCACACACAGACCCTGAATCCTGGAGAACTGCAGGGGCCTTACTATGGGTGGGAGCGCAGGGATTGGTGTGGTGATGGTCAGAGGGGACCAGGTGGCAAAAGCCCTGCTTTCCTCTTGTGGTCCAGGGGGAAACTACTGAAGGCCCCTGCTCTGAAAGGTCCACTTTGGGAGAACTGGGAAAGCTAATCTTTCACCCCAACGCTGCTCTCAGAAGGCATTCCAACAGGCTGTGGCTGGCACTATTTGTGATCTTTGTTTTGCAGACTCATCCTATGATGTCGTCTCAGATGACCTGCCAGCCCCCAGCCCAGGACAGGTCTCTACATGCACCTTGGCCTCTATCCGCTCCCTTCACAACACTAAAGCAATCTGCTTTGACAAGCTCCCTGTGTGCTACTGCCCAGCTCCCTGTGGGCTGGAATCACAGGAACTGGGACTGTTTCAGCCATCACTATATCCCCAGCACCAACTATCGCTTAATAAATAATAAATTGAAGGTGTTATTTACAAATATTATTGTTTGAAAGGAATTTTATTAGACTAAAAACAAGAGGCTAAATCTTTCTGCATGTTGATTTTAACTGCAAATTTGGGAGAGAACTTTTAGATTAAAAGCACTAAGCAGAGAGAGAGTAAAATGAGCATAAATTTTCAAGAGAAAAGCAGGTAACTACCCCAGTCCTCTGAAGACTGCAATTGTAAAACAATCTCTAAGAAACATAAAGAGGTTTGGCTCTGAGGAGCTGTAGTTTCATTTGTTAATCTGCCATCAGGAGTGTGTCCTAAGTGCCTTTAAAGAAAAGCAAAACACAACTTGTCAAAGAACACTCTTCTCTTGATTGACATTTTCCTATCATTT